TGTGTTTTTTTTTTTGTGGGGGTGGGGGGGGTCTTTTTTGGGGGAAGGTAGTTCTGCCAAGTGAGTTTTAGGTATGAAAATTATCACTCAAATCACAAGTATCTGGATTGACACTGGTTAATCTTAAAGAAGTGATACAGCAGGTCTTGTGGTCTATTAGTGGTCAAGGCTCCTGTTTCATCTAAAGAAAGTATGCGTGTTACATATGTAAGAGAGTTTTTCTTTTATTTTTAATTATGTGGTATTTAATCATTTTAACTAAATGGTTTGTTGTATGTATAAACATTATGATGCTTTAGTTTGTCATCTTTTCATCAGTGCTCACAGTGAATTTATTTTCTTTGGAGCATCTCTCAAAGTGGCTCTAGGTACCTTATGAGCATTAGCAAGAGACCCCTTGTACTGCAAAGGGGGCAGTATTTTAGTAGTTTTGTAATAGGTTTGATGAAAGCTTTGTAAGTCAGCATTTTGGTGGGTGACTCAAAGCTAGCTTCTGATAATCCCTTTATTTCCTCAATAATTTGGTGTGACTAAGAATGTTGGCTAATTATATGATATGCTTAAAAAAGAATAAAAATCACCACTGATAAATCAGATAAAAAAATGTAGAGATTTGAATACTGTCACCACATTTAACCAATTTACAGATTTCATCCACTAAATTTCTTCTCTGTTTCACAGCATTAAGCATAGCACCTTCTTCACACACATTCTACCACTGGCGAGTCGTCAGACCAAAACAGACTCATTGGCTAGCATCCATTCGAGTTCTGAGACCTGTCTGACTCAGCCCCTCATAGTGGTTTTACTTGAATCACATTAACTTTTGTGCTATTGTGCTTGCTACTTTCATCTGTTTGCTGGGCGTCATCACTGGTGATAATAAAAATAATAGAAGAAGAGCTAAAAGTCACTTTCTTCTTTGGCCTGTCCCCAACTTTCTGGGACATCACAATTGGTCTTATTGGCTTGTCATTCCCTGTTACTGGTTTTTCTTTCATTGTCCTCTGGAATCTTAGCAGGCGAAAGCACAAGAGCTGTAAAAGGCATCGTCGAAACTGCAAAGAGGAAGAATTAGAATCAAATTACAACTCCTTGAGTATGTCAAATAATTCATAAATTTCTAGACTAGTTTTTGTAGTCTCCAGCTGGAACACTTTAATGAACTTGTTGGGTCATTACTGGGTTCCTTTCCTCACCCTCCTAAAAGGTACAAGAAAAAGGGATAGCACATTTTACCTGACATACTTTTGCAGGACTTGAAACAGGAATGTGGTCTTGTATATCTGTTGGTTTGTAGGACAAAACACTTTCTCCCAGAACACATGCAACATCTGTTTACAGACATCGTATGTATGCGTGTTTGGGTGTGAGAATGAGAGCAAGACTGAGCATGTACAGATACTTGCTCTTGTAGCTGAAACTTTCCTGGTGGTGATTTAACCCTGTCAGAAAGAGGAACCTAAGTGCTTGATCCTGAGCTTATTTGTACAGAGTATGCTAACATTTACATAAAGTGGGAACAGTACAGTCTAGCATCCACAGAGACATCTGTGTTGTAGTGGGGCTGGCTACAGTAGTGGGGCTGGGTATTGCATATGTGCACATTTATATTTCATGAATACTGTTTACATTGAAATAAACATTATGAACTTATTATTACCAAATACAAGCTTTCAAAAATCATTGCCCAGACACCAAAAAGAAGTGAACAAACTTAAACATTGATTTCTGAGTGTCTTTATTGTTCATAATTCCCATTTTTCCCTCTGCAAGAGTAGGGCTAGACATTTAAAGGGAAAAATGAAAAAGAAAGGGGAATAAAAACTGAATTTTTTTTGTACCCTTGATGTACCATAAAACCACAGACTTTCAATAACATTTAAACATTGAATTTCTGAGTAAGAATAACAGACACCCATTTATGGGAGTAAGTCTCCCATAAATGGATCTAGCCTTAGGAGGTGATGTGCACTTGTCTCTCTCAGCTAAACAGGAGATACTTGATACCATCAGCTCAATTCTACTTCACAGATAAGTGGTTCAAGATATTCAGCAGG